AATAATTAAATAATTCAATAATTTAAAATATAAAATTTGTAATTGGTATACGTTCAATTTTTGATTAAATAAATTTTCATAAACATTTAATATTTTAATACGCATTGAAATTTTGTAGTGATATTTTTATTTAATGTTTTTATGACTACAAAAATAGTATGAGTAGCATTGAAGATTAAAAATTATACAAATAATGCAATATGCTATTGTGATTTTAAAAAGCTTGTTATATAAATTGTAATCTTTAAAGCAGTCTTACAGTAAATTATTTTTGAGCTAACAATTAATATGTTCTCGATTCACTTATATACATAGGTATATAAATTGTATCCCTATTTTACTCAGACATAAAGCTCATGTTCAATTCAAATGAAAACAATTGAACATTGAATTTTACATGCAATTGGGTATTAAATTCTACTCCGTAGCTTTTGTCAAATTATAGAAGGTTCTTAAAATCGGTAAAGTCAATTAACAAAAGGCTCTCACCTTATTCCTGTTATAGTTAGTTCAACCATTGTCTGCACATTTTTTAATTTATCACAGAGCCCTTATACTATGCGTATCAGCTATGAATTACCTTAAATCAATTACATTAGAAGAATATTTTGTGCATGACCATTCAAGTAAAATTATGAATATACATACAATCACAAACTGATTAAAATTATAATTTTAATCAGTCTATAATCGCATATTCATAATTGTTCGTAATGCACAAAATATTCAAGTATGCATTCTTAAAACTAACTCGACACCACCTCAACGCAGATTGTAGGTGGGATAGCTCTTAACAGAAAAAAAAACTTTGTTCTTTTACTCTTTTTTATCATAATTGTAACCCTTTCATATAAGTGACGAAAAGAGAAAACCTGTAAATCATTTCACTCATTATCTCGATAATGAGTAAAATAATTTACAGGTTTTCCCTTTTCATTACTCATATATTATAGCTAAATCAAATCTTAAAGGAATATAAAAAGAGGCATTGATGACTTCTATATTAAATTAATCTGTTAATTAAAATTTGCGTATTAATAATATCACTTTGATTATAAATTCTGAATCCTTAAGCCAACCTAACCTTGAATTAACTCTAATATCTAATGCTGTATCCTAATAAAAGAAAACTACATACATCCAAATTATTTAGAAAGAAAGGTCATTTTGTATCACAAGAAATGACACTTGACATGAATATGACACAAGATTTGCTACAAGACGGAATTGCAGAAGAAGAAATGTCACAAATTGAAACTATGAAAGAAGTAACTATAACACAAGAAAAGGACAATGAAGTAAAAAAAGCACCATATACCAGAATGTCGAGAACAACAGTCTGGAGAAAAAAGCAAAAAGATAAACTGTCGTTAAATGTTGAAGCATCACCTGATTTGTCACATCTATTTCCAGCTGCTAATATTGTAAACCGATTACAATCACTACAACCATCTTCTGCAGTATTATTAGCAAATGCCTTCTCATTAATAAATTTAATATGATCATCCACACTAAATCTCTCTATAATACCAACAGTATCTCAAACAACTACCTATAACTTACGATCACCTGTTGAAGCTAAAGAAAAACTTAAGATGCGTTTAAAAGAAATTAATATACAATGTAAAATTACAAAATCTTCAAA